CTCGTCATGTCCGTGATCACATCCGGGACTCCGAACAAACTTCGGTACATCAAAACTTATAAACTCATAATAAAACTGTCATCGTAACGTTAAGCGTGCGGACCCTACGGGTTCGAGAACTATGTAGACATGACCTAGAACCATTCTCGGTCAATAACCAATAGCGGGACCTGGATGCCCATATTGGTTCCTACATATTCTACGAAGATCTTTATCGGTCAAGCCGCATAACAACATACGTTGTTCCCTTTGTCATCGATATGTTACTTGCGTGAGATTTGATCGTCGGTATCCAATACCTAGTTCAGTCTCGTTACCGGCAAGTCTCTTTACTCGTTCTGTAACACATCATCTTATAACTAACTCATTAGTTACAATTCTTGCAAGGCTTAGGTGATGAGTATTACCGAGAGGGCCCAGAGATACCTCTCCGACAATCGGAGTGACAAAACCTAATCTCGAATTATGCCAACCCAACATGTACCTTCGGAAACACCTGTAGAGCACCTTTATAATCACCCAGTTACGTTGTGACGTTTGGTAGCACACAAAGTGTTCTTCCGGTAAACGGGAGTTGCACAATCTCATAGTTGCAGAAACTTTGTATAAGTCATGAAGAAAGCAATAGCAATATACTAAACGATTAAGTGCTATGCTAACGGAATGGGTCATGTCAATCACATCATTATCCTAATGATGTGATCCCATTAATCAAATGACAACACATGTCTATGGTTAGGAAACATAACCATCTTTGATTAATGAGCTAGTCAAGTAGAGGCATACTAGTGACTTTATGTTTGTCTATGTATTCACACATGTATCATGTTTCCGGTTAATACAATTCTAGCATGAATAATAAACATTTATCATGATATGAGGAAATAAATAATAACTTTATTATTGCCTCTAGGGCATATTTCCTTCAGCTATGATTACATTTGTATGTGTATGATATGCTAAAGATTATTGTATAAAGCCTATTCAAATAAAAACAAATATGTAGAAAAAAAACTAATAAAACTAGTAGTAGCGATGGACAAAAGTTAGCAGTAGCGCCGCCTTACCAGTAGCGTTGCCCTGTAAAAAGCGATGCAGATAATATTAGTAGGGCTCTTCACTGAAGCGCGCTACAGCTATCCATGTATAACAGTAGCGTGGGATGGCAGGCGCTACTGCTACACGTTAGCTGTAGTGCCTTATCAGTAGCGCATCGCCCCGCGCTACTGATAGGCCTAAAACCCGCGCTGCTGCTAGGCTTTTCCCTAGTAGTGACATCCTGCAAAGTGACCGTCATCTCCCCAACATAGAAGTGATAAGTATGTGTCGTTCAACGAGTGCGGTGATTGCACAAGGGTTCATCTTCGACATCGAACGAGACATGAGTGAGATGAAAGGGAGAAGCCCGGTCTTCCGGATATACTCTGTGTATCGCTCGTCATACTCCATCTTGTCATGAACTGAACCGGACCTCACGTGAAGCTGATCCAAAACCCTTCCTTCTTGTGCCATGAACCGTCCATGATGCAATTGATCGTACGATGGATTGATAAGAGAAGCCATCATGCAAATTACAAGTGTATATGGTAAGCCCTGTTGTCATTTGTAAATATCCGCACTAGTGCAAAAACATACATACATGTGCAAAATTTATACACTAATTCTTCTTCCATACACCATATATGTGCATACAATTTTCTACAATACCATACACCATATATTTGCATTAATTCTTCCATACACCATATATGTGCGTACATATCCTAACCAAATTCATAGCACTTTCATAAAAATCCTATATCATACATATTCTAAACCATACATATCCTAAATCACACTAATCCCTACATTATCACACCAAAATCCACTATCCATTTCAAGAAAAGGATGAACTAGGGTTTCACCCAAATCAATCAAATGCAGAGATTTCAACCAATAGAAAGAGGAGAAAGGGAGGAGAATACCTTGAGGATTCGAAGGACAACTGGATCCATCGATTTTTGTCTTCGATCCGCAACATTTGAGTGGGAAGAGGTAGGGGCGATTTGAGGGGCGCCATGGGTGTGGGGAAAGAACAGAGAGAGGAAGGAACGAACAGAGAGCAGAGGGGCTCGGGCGCGATATGGTGAAGGGGTATGGCGCCCCAGGCCGGGGCGTCGTGGTGCAGCCCATGGCGCCCTGGGCCCAAGGCTAGACCTACGTGGCAGTCAGCGCCAACGTGCATGTCGCCTTTGACCGTGGCGTTATGGTATCTAGCATGACTCCCCGGGCGCGGGCATCATGTGGGTGGGGCCCTTTTATGAAATAATTTCAAAAAAGGGCCATTTTGTGCTGAACTTTGGCCAAAGGGCCAGCTTTGTATTTTTTCACTCAAAATCTATGTTTATCGCCTGCGCTCGTCCAACCAACGATACGGGCCGGGTAGGTGAACCTGGCTGGGCTGGTCCTCGTTTGGGGATCGGCCCACAAGCTCCATGGCCCAATTTTCCTGTCGCAAAGATGGCGAATTCACAGTCGCATTGACCGACCAAACCAGTGAGAAGGGACGCGGCGGAAGCTGTGTCGTGTGTGCCCCCCCATGGCCGGAAGCCGCCGCCGCCGCCGCGGAAGAGCGCGGGTGCCGCAGCAGGGTGCCGAACCCTTGCCGCCGGAAGACACCGCTCTCAGCTCCAGGTCTGCACCCTCAACCCAACCCTACCCTCGCTCGTCTCTCCTTTCCCCCTCTTTTATCTTTCACATCTAAGTTAGGGTTTAAACCAGAATCGCGAGGGTCGGCAATCTTGAGTATTTTGGCGAATTGGTAGGAACATTTGACAGTCATATTTAGGGCATTCTTGTGAATTAATAGTGCTAGTTACTGCACCGGCCTCCCCTAAATTTGGATCTCCACCACTGCCTACAAGGTGTGTCAGCTCGGTATTGACAATTTCACATGGAACAAGTTCACTCGGTTCAATTCTTGATAACCTCATTGTCTCTGATGAGCGGCGATTTTCCTTAACTCCAATGTAGATGAGTATTACAGTTTTGGTAACTACTCCGTATTTGTTTGGTGGTGGTCATGCTGCTGCCTTTTAACTGTGTTCACTTGGTTCAGTGATTTTCTGAAACTCCATGTCCAATGTGATTTGATGGATACTTTTATTGTGACTGATTACTGAGAAGGAATAAACTAAAATTTCTTATCAAAGTTGTGCACGTAAACATCGGAGTGTTATTATCCTTTTTTTTTGTTACAGAAATTGGTCACCTGTTATGATTCAGTTTATTGCGCGGTTGGGTTGGATCCAAAGTAGATTTAGTGTATGAATGGTCTCTTGTTCATTTTGTCTTTCTCATGGAATCATGGTCATGGTCACGGTGCTGCAATGAACAATGCTCACTTCTGTTAAACGACCAAGTGAATTGCAGATAATAAATCATCACATAGAAGTTTTCTAGAAGAGGGGGGCATACTATTGTGTTTTTTTTTGAGAATACTCTACAACACACACCCTCTGTCATGATTTGAAAATATACAATTGCATATAGCATTGGCTGGCTCACTGGAGATATTATGGTTACATTGATGCAGAAAAAAAAACTAGTTGTAGGCAGTTCTGGAGTAGCTTCTTCTGGTTGACGTTTGGCATGTGCCAGTGTTGACACTCCTGTTTGCCTTATTGTTCAGTTAAAGCGTCCTGCATTTCTTGTAGTGTATTAACTCCTGAAATATTTATTTGATATATTATCTATTATGTTTCAGTTCTTTATTTTGATCCGTTATTCTTGAATTTCTATGTTGCAGAGAAGTTACCACTGTAGAGATGCCGTCTAAGAACACCTGCCCCGCCTCAGCCTCTACCTCCCCACCATTGTCTGGACCTCATGTTTGTGCAGATCTCGTGGACAGCCTGCTTCATGAAATTCTGCTTCACGAAATTATCGCTCTCTTTAACTCATTCCATGACTTCCTTGCTTTCATTGGCACATGCCACTCTTGGCGCACTGCAGTCTCTACCTTTCCATCTGCGCATACATTCAGCTTCCCGCCACTTCACTTCAAACCAGATGGTTCTTATGTTCATCCACATAATGGCGATATCAAGCCCATCCTTTTATCTAATTGCAAATGGCAGCTCAGTGATCCTACCAAGAAAGACTTATCCCTTGCGTGTTCAGTGCCTGAAAATAGTCCAAATACAATGCACTATTTGGGCTGTTCATATGGGTATCTTATCTTCTCCTACAAGGAGTACTGCCTCCTTGTCGATGTGTACACTGGCACCAAGGTGAATCCCCCTAAACTCCCAGCCAGCAACCAACTTGGATACTTTTGTGGCATAGGCATCCTTACGGCTCCATTAATTTCACCCAACTCTCGCCTCCTCCTTTTCTCGAGGGCTTCCATGTTTGAGTGGCAGGTTGGAACAAACTTCTGGTCCGAGCACCCTCTTGATATTGGTCGTGAACGCATCTATCAGATTGTGTCCTTTAAAGATGATATCTTTGTCATAGATGCTTTTCTGAGGCTCCACACTATACACTTGTCACCTCAGTTCAGCATGCGAGAAGTAGTAATTCAATGGGAGTTCCTGCCTATTAACTCGTGGTTGGTGGTCTGTGGTGACATGCTTCTCATGGTTGTTCAAAGCTTAAGCTCCAGCGAATCAGATGTCTTATTCAACTCAACCTTTAAGGTCTATCGCCTCAATTTTTCTATTGAACCGGCAAAGTGGGTGAAGTTAGAGAAGTTGGAAAATCATGCGTTGTTTGTTAGTCTTGATAGGAGGGACCCTACATTCTGCTGCATCAGCCCGGAAAGATGGGGAGGAAAGAGTAACTGCATTTATTTTGCGAGGCTATCTGATGATCCTGATGAGACTTGGACTGCGGTCGAGCTTGGTCAGCCAGTACAAAAAAGAACAGTTCACCCCATGTTCTATGGTCGTGCGTCCCCTCCCGACTGCGGTCTACTAAGTAACCTTTGGGTGTTCCCCAGTTTAATTTATGGTTCTGGCCAGTAATCCAGTCACAGAGTTGTGTCTAGTCTTGTGCAAGACCTGACCTGACGTTTTTCTTGGCTAGCAACTGGTTCGATAACTGTAATGGCTTCCTGACATTGGGACCAATGTTTTGTGTTAGCTGATTCGTATTAATTGGCGTGCTGTCGCTGCTGTTATGCGCAGTTATATTGTGCTGAACATCGGGATTGCATTTGTCATCTGCTTGGGGCACATGGGTTTCAACCATCTGTTGATAAACAAGACAATTCACAAGTGTAACTTCGGGTACTATTGTTGACAAACTCGTTGCGTATTCAGCTTTACCTCCCTTATTATGTATACATTCTGGTGCTTTTGAAACGTTACCTTGGATCATTGATATGTGTTTTTGTTTGCGGGGTTGGATAGTTTATTGGTCTCTTTTGGTGGGTTTCTTGCCCTTTTAGTTGATAATGTGCTGAACCGCTGATGGAGCAGGTGAAAGCTGGTCTGTTTACTGTGGAACTCTGTAAAATGACGTATTGTTCTTCCCTATTATTGGGGCTTCTGTATTAACCGTTTGCCTCATTTATTGTCTATATACAACTTGTAGCAATGTACTCCCTCCGTCCCATAATATAACATCGTTGCAAGCTTGCAAAACGAAGATCTTATATTATGGGACGGAGGAGTACTTACTATGCAGTGGTATGAAATCATAAAAATATCATAAAAATACATACTGCGATCCAGTTTATTATCTATTTAAGATGGATGCATTTTTTTATTTGTACTTTCGGCATATGTCCATTTCAGCAGCTAGAGTTATCTTTTGACTGAACTTTAAATCAGACTAAGAGGCCGCAAAACAGTTTTGTTCCTCCACTAAAAAATGGAAGCAAAAATGTGGATCACTCATTATGATCTTGACAAGATGTGTAGAATCCAAAGAACAACCTATGTATGTATACTTGTATGCATCATCTACTTATCTTGCACCTTTTTGTGCCGTTGCGTGGTCATAGCATCCTTGATCAGGTCTCACAAATCCTGATGAATCTCAAGCAATTACATTCCAACTCGTAAACACACGATGAATTCAGGGTACCATTCAAGAACTTTTCAGTAACGTAAGCTCTATCAGCATTGAATCAACATGGTAAAAAAAAACTAAGCATTAAAAAGAAACCTGACAAGTGTGAGACACCTTTTGTACCGATGCATGGTCACAGTATCCTTGATAAACACATAATGAATTCAGGGTACCATTCAAGTACTTTTCTGTAACATAAGCTCAATCAGCACTGAAGCAACATGGTAAACAAAACTCGGCATTAGGAGGAAGAAACCAGACAAGCGTGAAGATCATCCCATGGCTAGTGCTTTCCTGTCTTGGAACAATGAGCTTATCTATGCAAGTGTCAGCATGCCACTCTTATCTTCCTGGGGATTTACTACACCTTGCAAATGGTTCCCAACTTAATCAGCATGTATGTATTTAAATTAAACAAACAATGTTGGATTTAATAGGTTTAAATGTAAGCGACAACTAGTTCATTTTTTCTGTTCACCAGATTTCCATGACTATCCCAGCATCATACCATCGATTTGTTTCTGTGTGATAGAGAATGACATAGTTAAGCACCACAAATTAAGCATGTAGATGGCGCCGAGATTGGAGGCCATCTCCCTCCAAGTTCATTCGTGTACCCGGCATGATCAAACATGACATCATAGTTTACATCATCTAGACAAATAGACAGACATATGCTAAGCAGTGCAAACTTAAAAAATGATTGAATATGCCAATCACAATTCTAAAAAAAATGTTATTTCACAACACGTATAAACTTCATAAAGTATAGATATGTTGGAGATGTATCAATGGTAAAGCAAAGTTTGATGGGAAGTACAAGGTTTCACGGCACACCAACTTCAAGAAGAAGACTAACAAGAAGAAATGTGTTTGTCATGTGTGCGGAGATCCTGAGGGCTCCTAGTTGCCCTAACCATTATGATAAGCGTCAACATAGGAAAGGCGACAAGACCGCCAATGTTTTCATTGGTGACATTGACACGAATGATGATGGGTATGATATATTTTCCACTATTCTTTCAGTATGTCATTCTCTTGATTGGTTGATTGACACGGATGTTAATGTGTATGTATGTGGTGATATTTTCATGTTTTTCTTCCTATCAGACCTCAGGGACTTCCACCACGCTAATGGGCAACAGTTCAAGTGCTTTTGTTCGTGGTGTTGGCATGGTCGATCCGGGGAAGATCGTGCGGCTGAAGAACGTGCATTATGTCCCCTCCCTCAATAAAAATCTTGTTAGCGGATCTCTTATGTGTAGAGATGGCTACAAGCTTGTCTTTGAATCGAATAAATTTGTAATATCCAAGTATGGAACTTTTGTTAGTAAAGGCTATGAATCAGGAGGCTTGTTTCGTTTATCCTTGTCAGACGTTTCCAATAAAGTTGTTAATCATGTTTACAACAATAGTGAATCAAATTTCTGGCATTCACGTCGCTGTCATGTTAACTTTGGTTGCATGTCGTGACTAGCCAAGTTGAACTTAGTTCCTAGTTTCAACACTGTTAAGGGATCTAAGTGTCAAGTTTGTGTGCAAGCTAAGCAACCTCGTAAGTCTCATACCACTGCAGAAATAAGAAATCTTGCACCACCAGAGCTCATACATTCAGATCTTTGTGAAATGAATGGTGTTTTTACAAAAGGTGGAAAGAAATATTCCATGACGTTAATTGATGACTCCACTAGATACTGCCATGTGTATCTTCTGAATCTAAGGATGAGGCTTTGAACTTTTTCAAGATCTATAAAGCTGAAGTGGAAAACCAAATTGATCGAAAGATTAAGAGGCTTATGTCCGATCATGGTGGTGAGTATTTCTCAAACGAATTTGATTATTTTTGTGCGGAACATGGTATAATCCATGAGAGGACGCCTCCCTATTCACCTCAGTCAAATGGGGTAGCCGAATGAAAGAACCGTACTCTAACTGATTTGGTTAACACCATGTTAGACACATTGAGTCTCTCCAAGGCATGGTGGGGGAGGCGATATTGACTGCATGTCATGTCCTAAACTGAGTTCCTACGAAGAACAAAGAAATAACTCCATTCGAGGGATGGGAGAAGAAAAGGGTAACACTCTCTTACCTACGAACCTGGGTTGTTTGGTGGAAGTCAATGTGCAATTCCAAAGAAGCGCAAGCTTGGACCAAAACTATGGATTGTGTTTTCTTGGGATATGCTTTTCATAACATTGGATGTAGATTCTTGATTGTAAAATCTGAGGTATTTGACATGCATGTCGGTACAATCATGGAGTCGAATGATGCGAATTTCTTTGAAGATATCTTTCCCATGAAGGATATGGCTAGCTCATCAAATCAGGAGATGCCTAGTCCATCGAGTCAGGAATTAGTTACAATTGAACCTACCATTTCGATAGAACACTTTGAAAATCTCATGGTGGGCAATAATGAAATTCCTACAAGGAGCAAGAGACAAAAGACTGCAATTTCCTTTGGTGATGATTTCCTTGTGTATCTCATGGATGATACTCCTAGGTCAATTTTAGAGGCTTATGCATCTGAAGATGCTGACTACTGGAAGGAAGTAGTCCGTAGTGAGATGGATTCCATCTTGGCCAATGAAACTTGGGAGATCACCGATCATCCTTATGGGTGCAAATCTATAGGATGAAAATGGGTTTTCAAGAAGAAGTTTAGACCTGATGGTACTATTGAGAAGTATAAGAGGCACGGCTCGTGGCCAAGGGTTATACCCAAAAGGAAGGTGAAGGTTTATTTGATACTTACTCACCTGTGGCTCGACTGACCACTATTTGAGTGCTACTTTCATTAGCTACCTCACATGGTCTTATCGTTCATCAAATGGATGTTAAGATTGCTTTCTTAAATGGAGAGTTTGACGAGGAAATTTATATGGAACAATCAGATAGGTTTGCAGTAGATGGTCAGGAAGGAAAAGTGTCAAGTTGCTGAAGTCTTTGTATGGACTTAAGCAAGCACCCAAGTACTGGCATGAGAAGTTTGAAAGAACTTTAACAACTGCAAGCTTTGTTGTAAACAAAGCTGAAAACTGTGTGTAGTATCGCCATGGTGGGGGCGAGGGAGTTATTCTTTGCTTGCATGTTGATGACATATTGATTTTCGGAACAAATCTGAATGTTATTAAGGAGTTCAAGGATTTCATATTTCGTTGTTTTGAGATGAAGGATTTAGAAGTAGCAGATGTTATTCTGAACATCAAGCTATTGAGAGATGATGATGGTGGGATTACGTTGCTTCAATTTCACTATGTGGAAAAAATCTTAAGTCGCTTTGGCTATAGTGACTGCAAATCCTCTCCAACACCATACGATGCTAGAGTGCTGCTTCAGAAGAATCGAAGAATTGCTAGAGATCAATTGAAATATTATCAGATTATTGGCTCACTTATATATTTAGCCAGTCCTACAAGATCTGACATCTCTTTTGCTATTAGCAAATTGAGCCGATTTGTTTCAAAACCGGGAGATGATCATTGGAAAGCTCTAGAGAGAGAAATGCGTTATTTGAAAGGCATTGCGAATTATGGATTCCACTACACTGGGTATTGATACGTCTCCAATGTATCTATAATTTTTGATTGTTCCATGCTGTTATATTATCATTCTTGGATGTTTTACAATCATTTTATAGTCATTTTATATCATTTTTTGGTACTAACCTATTGACATAGTGCCCAGTTCCAGTTGCTGTTTTCTGCATGTTTGGTACATCGTAGGAAATCAATACCAAACGGAGTCCAAACGCAGCGAAACTTTTTGTGGATTTTTTTGGGCCAGAAGACATCCAGTGGGCCAGGAACGCACCTGAGGGGAGCTATGAGGGGAGCATAACCCACCAGGGCGCGCCTGGGCCCCATGCGTACCCCGGTGGGTTGTGCCCTCCTCGTTGGCCTCCCGCACCACCTCTTTGCTCTATAAATACTCCAATATTCCAGAAA